TTGCGGTTTTACAAGCCAAACTGAAGGGAGATCCGTTAAGTACGTTTATGTGTTTGTTAGAGCACACCCCCATACCAGATTTCGGAGAAATAAAGCGGAATTTGATAAAATGCTATGAGAGGTATGAAGGTGGAGAAAGAGGGCATTTGGATCAATTGCTGAACATAAAGCAAGGAGGGAGAGAATCAATTAGTGATTATATTGTTAGGACAAAGACGGTTATGTCCAGGGCCATCCAGAAAAACCGTACTGTTGTTTCGTTCAAGGATGACGTCATTAAGGAAAGATTTATTAGAGGTCTCCATCAGAATATCCGTTGCCATGTGAGCCGCCGTGAGCCTGAGACTTTAGAACAGGCCTTCGAATGGGCCGAGAAGGAGGAACGTGTGGAGAGAGAATGTGGTAGCTTACGGGAGATTAGAAATGTAGGTTACAATGCCCACAGTGATCAGCAGTATGAGGAGGGAAGGGAAAGCGCTAATCCTGTAATGCTCCACAGAGATGACGATCGCTTGGCAAGTTTAGAACAGGGTATGAAATCCCTTCTCTTGTATATTTTTAAAAATTTTTGTTCTAAATTTTGATTTAAATATTTATATTCTATACATGGAACGTATCTGTTCCATTTTCGTTTTTTTAGACCTGAGGATGGCCTGTTAATCAGGTTGAAAGCGTTTGTGTTTAAAATATATAATTCTCAGCAAAATTAAGGTGTTCTAATATATATGTTTACTTGCTGAGCACTTTTAATGTCTGATGAAATATTTGTAACGCAAAGATGCTCTTTTAATAAGATTGAAAACATTAGTTATTAAAAAGTTCTCACTGTTCAGAAAGGTTGTGAGTGACTTAGTTACTTCTTGATTATTTTTATGATTAGATTAACAGATTTTTGAATTTTATATAACATTCAAAAACTATAATTTATTTCATAAATATATTTTTATAAAACCAATACTGTTTCATATAATGTTTTTATTATATAGTCAGTCAACATATATTGATCGCTATGTTGTTCATTTAGCAGTTGTTTTATTTAAATAACCATTAAAAGTATTTTGCGGGAACTGGCAATTAAAAATAAAACTATTGAAATTGTTTCATTCGACTCTTGGTTCATTCCAATTAGTTTCATTTAAATAGCTGTTAGAGAAAATCTGCATTAAATACTTTTAATTCAATTGAAAATATTTGAATTCTTGAAGAATACAGGTAGTCCTCGGTTTACGCTGCAGTTCTGTTCCTACAAAAGCCGGCGCAAGTCGAATCGGCGTAAAGTGAACCCATATTCACAGTGCGGTATAGGGTTAGGTTCTACATAAGTGAAAAATAAGCAAATAATTTTTTTATTAATACAATATAATACAAAATACATATAAATTTAATTTTTATAAATGTATTTTATCATAAAACAAAGTGAAATGTTTTTATTAAAAAATTTTAGTTTTAGATCTCTTACATTTTTCGGAAAAAAGTATCCATCTTTAATTGTTTACATTTTTGTTTTCTTTCATTGAGAATTTTGGAATATGGTCGAATGGATGCAATGATGCTCCTTTTTACATTTGCACTTCGCTCCCAATCATTGTCTAACTCACAAAGTTCATCCGTCAAACTTTCCATAGTTGAAAGGATACATTAACCCGACGTAGAGCTACAGACGAGCGGAGACACTGATTGGTCGACCACCGGTTGCCATAGCGCATATATAAGGTCAGTTTGAGCGGGAAAATTCAAGGTGGCTAAGGAGAGTTAGATATCGTCTGGCCAACGAGAAGTAGATTTGTCTCACTAACGATAGTTTGTGATTGCCGAAAACACCTTACTGTGTTGTAAGGTGTTTTCCTGAACGAACTGATACAGGATACATTCATTGGTGCTATGGATTCTGATGCCGTTTATTGAACTATTAAGTTTCATAACTTGACTTATGGGTACCTAAACATGTAGTATTTTAATATTAATTTAATGCAAATGTATACATAGCCAATAATATTAAACAGAAAAAATAAATATATTCAATAAAAGTCTTTGTTTTAACGAATGTACAATGTCGCGGCTCGGTAAATACGTCAACACTGAAATGAAAATCAGTCTAGCATAGGAAAAATCAGGAAATTACACCACAAAACAGCGAATTGTGCAGCGGCATTATTGTGAATCAGCGTAAATTGAGCTGGCGTAAACCAAGGGCTACCTGTATTATTATTCGGAATAATCAGTTCAATTCAAGAGGTGAGACAATAGTTTTAATTGAATAAAACCATTTAATGTAATTTGTTGAAAACTCTGTTCAAAGTGTTTAAAGAAAAGTATTTTTAAAATGCTATTCAATTTGCGATTTTGAATAACGATTAACTGGGCACAGTCCATGTTGAGAGGAGCACAATAGACTAGACAAGTTTATTAAAAAGAGTGGCATTTTGTTCATTGTATATAAATTTAATGAAAAGAGACTTACGAATAGTGTGTTGACTAGTGTGCATACAGACAGCGTGGATGAACTGTGTGCTTCTCTTAAATGTCTAATTGGTGATCAAAATGAAAGTATAATACCTTCTACAGGTGTTAATTAAAATTGACAACAATGACAAAGTATTTGCATCATGCAATTTGTGTTCAATTAAGAAAGTGATAACATTGTCTAGTAATATCAACTCCAATTTCATATCTCATTTGAATATAACCTTTTTTAGATATAATAGAAGTAAAGTTAAATATTAAATTTTATCATATCTTTATCATCAGGCCCTACAAGTCACTAAAACTATAAAGATGAACAAATGGACCTTCATGTTTTTTACCAGTTTCTCTTCCTTGAGACACTTTATTTTCATTTCAGTGTTATCATCATCTTCCGCAGCAGTTGAGTGTGTTTAGTAATAAGGGTCTTCTTATTAATAAAAAAAATAATTATAAGCGACAATTTATTTTAAGCCATAGCTGTTTTGAAATTAAGGAAATGTAACACTTTGCATTTATTTGAAATTAATTATGACTTTGTTCATTCAATAATACAAAAAAAAAGCTTTTTTCAAACTGTCTGTTTACATATCATACAAAATTACCAAAAATTATTTGTAAATTTTACTTGTAAAAATTTAAACAATAAGTTAGAGATCTCTACACATGTAATAATGTACAGTATAATTCATTGTTTAAATAAAAACAGGAACAAACTTCACAGCTATATTGAGTATAAGACACATTTAAAAATCTTTGTTTTATTTATAAGTTTTAAAAGTACAAAACCTTTAAAAACTTATATGTAATGAGAGAAATAAAGATGTATTAGTTTACGTGAGCAATTACAATATAGCGAAACAGAATTGTAAAGCTCATTAATATGTCAACAACCTTGAGAGCACCTGCGTTAAAAAAGTGTAATTGCTTGTTTAATTGATTAAAAAATGAATAAAAGCATGAATACATGCTATCATTTCTTACAAACTAACTGAAATTTATTCAGTTACTTTTTATTTGAATGAAAGTATTCAAATGCTAGACACCCATTAAAACTAATCGATTAGTTCCATGGAAGAGTTGACTATTTAAATAGACGGACACCGCTAATAACTTGCTGTCAAACTTAACCATTAAAATGGCACTCTGGCTGTGTATTTAAATTGTCGATCAGCGTGTTTTTATTCAGTTAGCACAACGCTGATTGATCGACAACATAATTAAAAAAAATTCATTGTTCGTTTAGTCAATAAATGTTAATTAACTATTAAATTAAAATTTTACCAAATATATAGGTTATTTTAAATAGATTGGTACAATTTGTAGAATGAGAAGCTTTTTATGAGAAATTTGCCATGTCAGTTTAATAATATATACACAAACATCTTCCAACTATAACACTGTCATCCAGTTCAACCAACATTTGGACCCCCTATACAGGGAGATTGCTTGCCATAATCACACAAAGATCGTGTACAGGAGGACCGGCACTATTTATAACCTGCTGCGCAATGCTAAAGACGCGATAGATCTCAACAGAGCCCCAGGAGTTTACTCCATTCCTATCAGGGATGATAGATTCCAAAGAAACTTAGTTTATATTGGTTCTACTGTGTGCTCAACATAAAAATGGTTACGCGACCATCAATCAGACATTAAAAATAACAGGCACACCACCGCCTTGACGGCGTACATTAGCAACCCTGAAATTTGGGTGGACTTCCCGAACACGAAATTAATCAGACAGGCATTTCAAATTGATCATATCCGTCACCTGGAGGACTGGGAGATCTGTAAAGCCAATGTTGGGGGCACCTGTATCAACTTAAAAGACAGAGAGACGATCGTGCAGGAGTGGAGATACCTATTCGAA